TTTGTGTGGGTGCACTAGTCTGGGGGTTCTGGGATGTGTCATAGTAGAATTCATTGTCAGGTTTGTGTGGGTGCACTAGTCTGGGGGTTCTGGGATATGTGTCATAGTAGAATTCATTGTCAGGTTTGTGTGGGTGCACTAGTCTGGGGGTTCTGGGATATGTGTCATAGTAGAATTCATTGTCAGGTTTGTGTGGGTGCACTAGTCTGGGGGTTCTGGGATATGTGTCATAGTAGTATTCATTGTCAGGTTTGTGTGGGTGCACTAGTCTGGGGGTTCTGGGATATGTGTCATAGTAGTATTCATTGCCAGGTTTGTGTGGGTTCACTAGTCTGGGGGTTCTGGGATATGTGTCATAGTAGTATTCATTGCCAGGTTTGTGTGGGTGCACTAGTCTGGGGGTTCTGGGATACGTGTCATAGTAGAATTCATTGTCTGACCTGTGAGGGCACAATTATCATTGTATTCACATATTACACATAGTAAAATTCATTGCAATGTCAGAAGATATTTTATTTGCTGGGATGGAGACATTAGGTCACTTACGTTAGATTACTTGGCAAAAAAACCCAGCCGTTGTTTACCATGATATCAGTATATCAGACATTGGTAAACAGAACAGTTTATCAAAAGTTTTCACAATTCCAATTTTTGGTGAAACTGACTTTCTTCTGTCTGTAGAACCACAGCTGAATTGTCATGTTCATTCTTCTGTAACTTATGTTTTGTTTTTGCAGGTGAATTCCAAGGTATCTACAGCATTTGAATCATCATCTGGTCGCTGTAAGCAGATGCCAGCTCCTGTTACCATGCTTACTAAAAAACTCTTCTTCTTTCCTGGCTACTATGCAAGTAGTATATAGCGGTCTTCTCCTTATTAACAGACTCGACCCATCCACTCCCCCCTCCCCTTCAATTCAACAGTACCATGTTGTCACAAATCAATGAAATATGTTCCATTATATTATTAAATTTCCCTGCATGCCCACCCCACCTTTAACTCTGAAATGAAAATTATATTT